TGTTGAACTCTGTTAGCAGCCAAATGTTTTCCCCTTGATAGTAATGTGTTAAACACATTATGAATTTTTGGGCCAAGTAGTGGCACATAAATATCACCTTCTAGTCTGGGTCGATGCTAAATAGACTCAGGGGAGATTAATATAGTCCCCAGTTTAAACCATCTAATCCATATAATTTAATGAAATTACCATTTGACAAGAAATATTAAATCAAAGACTTCACAAAAATTAATGAGATATTTTCATACTGATTTTTTGAGTTGTCAGAATGTTGAGCATTTGTTTACTTGGAGTTTTGTTTATCATGGTGATAAAATATAAATAATTACGAAATCAAATCATGATCACACATCTACTCTTGTTAGGTTTATGTGGCAGTTAACAGTACTAATAAGACTAATGATTAGATGTGGTGGTTTGAAACTTGTCTTTATCAGGATTCGAACCTAAAACTTTTTGATTACATTTGGTTGCTCTACAATCTGATCAGTGAAGTTGAAGCTTGGTTTACTCTCTTAGATTTTCCTATTCAGATATCATCAAAGTAAGGCATATACAAGGTAGTGCACCAACTAGGACTCTTAGCCTTGCTAATTTGGTAGACAAACTGATCAGGTTTAAATCCTCTTTCTTAGTATTTGATAATTATAACAACAGCAAAATAAACAACCATTAAAATAGAAATATCAAATTTCAGTTACAGTAGTGATTATAAATTCAGATTGAAGACCTGATCACATTTTCATTTAAAACTTCTGGAATTTCATGTAATAGCAACAATGACAAATATAATCACATATTAACAAAATATATTTTGATGATATAAAAGATTTACGATAACACACGTTGTTTCGCAGGCCGTTGTCTCGTATATTGGCAGTATTTTGCAGACATATTCATCATTGGGCACAGCAAACAATATAATTTATTGAATAGAATGAAATATTTGAAAACACAGATAAGTGAAAAGTCCCTTTGTGTCCCTCTGATTTTATTACATTAATAATGAATACACTGTAAATATGCAAGGGAATTCAATATGATTTGCTTTAATGTAATATCATCACGAAGTCTATTTGCATATGATAATAGACATAACGGATTCCTAGATATTATTATTATTATTTTAATTTATCAATGAAAAAAGCTACAGTTTATTAATTGATGGCATATAAGTGTTTTTCTCCATCATTTATTGATAGGTGTTAGTGTTCATGAGATAGGCTTTAGGCCTATGTATCGTCATCATCATCGCTGTATCTTGTCTGTTATGAAAGATAGCAAATGACTTAAGTTTTGATGGGAAGGTATATCATGCCACGGAGGTGGTAATGATGCTCGGAGCGGTATATTTCAGTGCACAAGAGTGCATGGAAGCAATCCTCGGAGTTCTTTTTTATGCGAGAATGTTTCTGTCATTTCCCTCCGGTCATAGTAAGAATTGAGAAGCAAACAGCGTTACAACAGATCTGATTTAGGCTAGATTCCTAGAGGGACATTCCAAATGCCGTTATGGTAAACGTATGTTGTGATTGAAACAAAATCATATCGGAGAGTAAGTAAGTAGACCAAAGACCTCACCATAGATAAACATTGTACTCTCTGGGGGATGCCCTTACGTAGGAACACAGATTTGACCAGAATTGACACTTAGCCGCCCAAAAGTCATCAAATAGCCAATCAGGATTCAGCAAGTAATTTTGAGGTTGACGCTAGTAGTATGGGGTGGTGAAAGTAGCAATTTGACGACACAGCGGGAAAGTCTCAGATTCTGTTATTAGGCTAACATTGTTAGGAAATGAGCTAGAGGGCATATAAACTCAACTGTGCCACTATTTTTGGGTATGTCGGCTTGAAGTTTTCATTTTTGCTTTTGACCCTTTAGTCCATAACACCATCGAACTTTAAATCCAAAAGTTGTCAAAATATTTAAATATTCAAATGTATATAGCTTTCTATTAATAAACATTATAATTAATATCATATGGATACAGATTGAAAAAAAAATTGTCATAAAAATGTAACCATTTAATAGTCATTTGAATTTGTCTGCCTTATAAATTATTAGTATGATGTTAGAGTTCTAAGAGATACATCTAATATTAATATAATATTTAATATGTCAGTGTTTCTTAAAGAGACAGTGATACATCTTTGTAAATTGATATGTTTAATATTGTTCCAAATATATTGTATTAGTTTATTATTAAACAATGTTTAGGTCTATTTATATGTATTATGATTTTATTTAAAAAAAATCAATATTAACATATACCTTATCAGTATTTTGTGCATATTTTCTTAAAGCTTATAGCAGTGTTGTTATTTTGTTGGGAACAATTGCCGCAGAGTTTCTGAAAATGAGTAATTTGTGTCAGAATAATGAGACCCCTGGAAATGATTAAGTGTCCTCACTTCCTATATCGGAAGTAGTTCCAGTCTTACGACCTATTACCAACGAAATATACAATTCATTCTCTTATATGTGACCCAGGAACCATCTTGTATCGCCATAACAACGTAGTAAATAAACAAAACCGTTTATTTTGTTTTTTAATTTATATACCGAATCTATTCACCACTTTGAGACAATTCACAGAATAATTATATTAAAAATAAATCCATGCATAACATATAATTCTATTACTTAAATATTATGGAAAAAATTTCTCATAAAAAATATAAATATATACAAATATCATTGAGGCAGAAAATACAGCATGCATTGTTTACAGAGTGAATTATTAATAACTTAATTAATATGGGATTTTACATGAAATATGTATCTAGATAAACCTCTTAATATTTTATCTTTAATTGAATTCATTATAACAAAAATCAATGCTATCTGGTAACAGACTGATATGTAGAGATATTGAAATTTGTGTGTGTATACTGAGACTTGATCTTATGCAGAATGTATTGAAGTACATCAAGTATTCTACTATGATGCATAGCTAATTATAAAGACTTGTACCTTGGGGCTATTCCAACGTTCCCCTTTGTTCAACAAACGTTCATTCCGGACAACGTATTGGCACATTGGCACCTACCTTTGTTACAAATGCTATTGCACAACCAGCAATGAATAGCACATTTTTACATACTATTTAATACTTAATTACGAATAATTATTTCATAACAAGTTATGGTTTAATCTATATATATAAACTTTCAAAGGTTGTGACACTAAATCTGTTGAGTACATAAAAATACAGGAATTATTTATAGTGAATTTTTCAATAGAAATTAATTCTTTTTTATAATGAGATTTATACCATAATGATATTCTAATTTCCAAGAAATCAACTGAAACATCCTTCCCCTCTTTAACATGATGGTGTTAATTAGTATCTCTGTTTTCGTCGCGCTAGACGAGTAGTGAAAAGCAATTGTAGCATTCAAGGACATGGTACCTTTTAATATACTTGTTCAGAACATCGCAATTTACACAATTTATGCAATTACACTCTTAATTCATTTAGCCAAGGTGAAGTTGTTAACCATAGAAATCCGATTTTCTCCAAAATTGTTTACATCAATTTTCAATTTGATGAATTGAGCAAGATATTTGTGTTTTAATGAACTACGATTTTGTAATAATTGTACTCGATGGTGTCATAATTTAATATAGATTAGTCGAAAAGTGGCGTGTTCTTTGGTTGCGATATTCAACAGCGGAGAACTCCTTGTAGATCTCCGTGTTAATCCAATGGGGAGTTGATTATTAAATGTACGCTTTTCACACACAGGCAAGAAAGGTAGATGATTGAGAGCATATCAGTTATTGATTTTAGCCTCTCTCTTTCAAGGCAATGCGCGGTTGTAGAGTGTTTACTTACCATTGTGCTAACCTGATGTTCAATGCTGGTGTCTAGCATTCTACTTGTAAAATTGAAACGATAAAATTATTAGTATACATGCTAAATTGATTACAGACACAATTTAATTATGATTATTAGATATAAGATAAAACGATACTTTAGTGTCATAATCTGATGGAATCAAATTGATGAAAATGAAATTCATTATGCAATGATAAAGATACAACTCAAATTTAAACAAAGCAATTAAATATTATAACAATAAAAAATTATCAGAAATGCTAAACACAAAGTACTGAAATATGTGCTATATATTTAAAAAAAAATTGTAATTTGGTGTATAATGAATAGAGATATAGTGTTTTATGTAGTCAATAATATAATAGAGAATTATATGGTAGTAAGATGGTGTAGCGATGGCGACGGCAAATATATACCATACGTGTCATTACTAATGTTAATCATCAGAATAATTGTAATAGGTGTAAGTTTTGTGGTTTTTGATTATATTTATTTTGCTGGCAGACAGCAAATTTCTCAATGTACTTATATGGACAAATAAAGTATCTGAGTAAAGAATGGTAGGGGAAAGTTGGAGGGATGTCCATTTCATTTTGTTAAACTGTTACTAGATAATAATTCTTACTAGCCTTATTATAATTTTTATTTTTGTTAATCATCTTTGTCAATTTTTTTTCTTGAATCCTTTACGATTCTTGATGAATAAAGAGTGAATATTACCATAATCCTATTGGGAAACATGTCAAATGTGAAACGTTAATTACTTTGATTGTTGTGTTAATACAATATTGGCAGTATGTGCGCTGTTGAATTCTGATTTGTCTATTTTTTTTAACAATTTAAGCTTTTTACTTTGAATAATTGGAATGATGCAACGACTGTATATTATGCCATAATTTTAATCAATGGAAAATTAACAAATTTATAAAAAGGTTTTTGTATACACATGTTTATGGATAAAGTACATTATTATTGCTTATTTTTATGTTTATTTTAATTAAATAATAAAGAACTTTGTAATTATAATAGAAATGTGTTGATAAGTTACTGATAAATAATTAAAATAACAATTTGAAGAAACAAGTAATAAGGAGATATATAGGAATATTGTTAATAACATTTCATTCTTATGACTTTAAAAATTTTTTATTTTAGGTAAAAAGGAGCCATCATATGGCATGTCCTATTCAATGTCAAGGGAGCCCTCATTGCCTCAGGTAAGAAAATAATATACTTATTTATTCAAATAAATGCGCGCTTTGAACAAATGCCACTCTTGAATAAACGCCCTCACCAGAGCCTCACTTGGAATGAACAGCTCCCTCGAATATACGTCCCAGGGTGTTAATATTTTCATCTAATAAATGCATTATTATACATTCTGTTAAAAATTTTCTTGTTCTGTTTTAAGATGACTTAAATAATACAAATTTAACAATTACTAGGCCTATTTATTTATTTAGTTCAAATTTACTAGCTTTTGTTTATCTTTAATAAATATCAGCCTATACCAATAATTAATATAATTTATAATGAATGTTTATACCAACAGACTTTACTTTTCCAATCATTTACTTTGATAGAGATTTCCAGATATTTCAGCACCAACATTTCATATAAAATAAGTTAATCTTAAATTAGTTTATAAATCTGTTAATTTATAGGAACTACACTATAATATAGGTAATTCATGTTTCTAAGCATAATTACAGATAACAGGCTTTTTATTTTGAAGATATTCTAAAGAATAATGTAACAGCTTTAACTGGGGTTTGGAACAGTGTCTGCTTTAATATTATTTGCTTCAAATATAATTTTTAGAAGTGGTTTATGTACATTCATATCTCTCCATTCTCAAATAGTACAAATAGGAGGCCAGGGGGATATGTAATAGTATATATATTATGTACTGTTCTCATTTTATTATCTTTAAGTATCACACACTATGCTGTTATATTCCTAGCTTTGATACTGTATGAAGAATGTTTTCAGTTTCTTGGAATGGCAAAATACATAGCTTTATAATATCCAGCTGTTAATAATTTCTATAAAAAATGGGAAAGATAATTCATGTAGGAAAGTTTCACATTGTCAGGTGTATTAATCAGGCTCAGATGTTTTAATGCTGAAGGTACACAACAGCTGGCCTTATAGCCACACCTGTGCGGACAGGCCACACCTGTGGGGCTAGGCTAGTATAGTTGACTGACTGTGCCCTATAGCTGACACCTCCAATTGAGTCTGCAGACAGCTTCAAGCCACCTGTGTAGTTCCCTGGCTTTGGCTTTAACTAGCAGAGGCTAAGCCTACAAACGATTCCTGCAGGTGGCCGGGTACAAGATCACACCTGCATTGAATAAGTCCCAGCAGCTGTGTTGTGGTCCCAGCTAACTAAACTAGATCAAAACATTCTACTACAACTGTCAGCCATGTTTTTGTGTGTAAATATTTCCTATATTAAAAATAATTTTACATATTGAATTTTATATTTGATGTTACAAAAAGAAACTAAATTTTTTTTTCCAGGAAATCCATGTATTATATTTTTGTAACTCATGAAAGATGTTGAATTTTACAAAACAGTTTTTGGTAACTTGAAATTATAGCATATACGAGAAGAATGTCGGATTTTTCTTGTTTATACTCGAATTGACGTAATTTAATTCGCCTGTAAGCTGAGTGAGTAAAGCCAGTTCTATTGTTCAGTGTTTGCAGTCAATACAAACCGGCATCCTGCGATTTAGTCGCCACAAAAATTGATTAAATCAAAATCAATAATATAGCAGGGCAATCACTTGTTGAAGTTTGATTTCCTGAGCCTTCCTATCTAACCGATCTATAATGACGTTTCTTGAAAAGATATTTTCACAGTTTTCATGTCCATGGATTCAAGAGATTCCAAGTACAAGAAATATAAATTATGCAAATTTTACTAACACCATGATTAACATATTGTAACCAGAAAACACACAGATAAATTTATATTCAAGATAATATATCTTTTCAGTGAACAATTACTAAATTAAGTGAATAATTACTAATTTACTATAAAGTTTTAGTAATTGATTTTATTAAATGTAGTAATATGTATGTTTAGGTTGTGTTGGAAATTGGTCAATTGTAAATTAATATAATGGGACTAGAACTTCAATTTGAAAATTTATAGTGAAGTAACTATTTGGGTGATTATAGTAATTATTAATTTTACTAGCATTCCCAAAATAATTAGAAAACAATAAGGTTTTTATTTATAGTTTAAAAATTGTTTATTTTTTCAATTTTAAATAAATGTGCTGTTTATATTTTGGTATTATTGCATTCAATGATATAATTTGTAATGTTAATCGTGAATATTATTTTTTTTTATAGCTCTATCGTTTAAGATTGCAGTGTCAAATTCAGATCCAATATCTTTTCAGATAATTATTTCACTCATAAACTGCCAACATTGCATTTTATATGCTTTTCAGTATCTGCCATGATTAAATCTTCAATTGGATACAAATAACCCTTTAGATGATAAATGATTATGAAATATGTTGTATTCTAAATTAACCTCTATATTAAATAATTGTTGGCATATAAGGGATTTGAAAACATAGGCATATCTGTTGTATGTAAACTATTTTAATGATAATTATAAATACCTCAGATTGACTATGAATCTGATCTGAAATTGTTTGCATTTTTTGGCAAAGTACTACATAAAAAGATCTGCAATCTTGCCCGTGCCTGAGATCAGAATCTCTTTTAATTATTTTCCGCAGTGGAAGAATTGTAAATTAGTAAGGTCTTTGTTAGTCTGCTCCAGCAGATGTTAGCAATCCGATTGGCTGGTTCCATTTATTGTACTATCTTCATATCCATATTATTAACCAGAAATTGCTTCTAGTTATTGAAATTACAAAGTAAATGAAAGCTACAAAAACCCATATGGCCTGTAGCATCCTTGATTGTGACTAATTGTGTATTCTTAATGGGTCCATGTTTTTTTTTATGTTATTTTCTAGATTTATGATTTTGTTTGTTTTCTGCTTTGGCAGTATGACACAGATTTAATGTAAAGGATTTTGGATGGTGTGGGTGGTAGTTTTGTGTAGGTTGAGACAAACAGTGATTTTGCTGTGGAAAGATATCACAAGCTTAGATTGAACATTTCCAAAGGAGAAATATCAAAGATGCTTGCAAGCTAATTAAAAAAATAATTACTAAATTAAAATTGAGGTGCATAATCCTTTGATGTGGAGGGTAAATTTAAATTTTTTTTAAATCCCTTTTAATTTTCAGTTGATAGTATGAGCAAGTTGTTTAATCTACTGTAATGTGGAGATGTGTTACATTATTATTAATAGTTAGGATACATTTAATTAATATGAGAAATTAGTTTACTATGGTAACTTGATAACATTTAGGATTAGTGTAATATAGATATAATAAATTAATATCATTATTAATCTGGTTCAGATATATAAGTCCGTTAGTATTAGTCTAGTATAAATTAGTAGTCTTGTACAGGTTTGTTAAAAATGTTAAGGTTCAGATATATTGGATTAATATCAGTTGAGATTAATTTAGTACAATGTTTTAAATCTATCAGTTAAGATTAGTCTAGACTTCTTGATGTACTAAGTTAATATCTATTAGTTAAGTACAGATGTTTAAACATTTTATCAGTTAGGAGGATTAGTCTTGTTAAATTTTATACAAGTTAGGATTAGGCTTGTTAAGATATTAATTTGATATCAAGATTAGTATAGTATAGATATATTAGATTCATATCATCTAGGATTAGTCTAGTAGACATGTGTTAGAGAAGATGTTAAACTTACAGTTTAGATTAGTCTAGTTAAGGTGTATTAAATTGATATTATTTACTGTAGGATACCTAGTCTATTAGCATTAATGTTTACTGTCTACACAAAGATGACATTGAAAGTGTTTTCTTTTTTATCTTTTAGCAAGCACAAAGCATAACCCCACTTGGTATGCCTAGCTCTGGCTCCCTGTCCCCTCACGCTAAAGCTACGGCACCTTACTACAGTATCTATAACCCATCAAGAAGACGCCCAATGCCAGAACAACCACCAATCCCACCTCAGACAGGTAAGTTTCAAGTTGGAACAGTAAGCATATTGAATTAATATGGTGTAACTATACAGAACAGTTAGCATTGAAGTATTATGGTGTAACTATAAAACATTGCCTTTTATAATATTAACAGTTTATTTTACCATGTCAATGTCTAGGATATATATAGACTTAAAAGTATCTTATGATAATAATTGAGTATTATAAGTACCTGAGTGGTCCTAGGCCTCAAGGTAGTGAGCTACATGTCATGCATCCCATAATAATGTAGTGATTCTAATGTTGGAATTTTTAACTATGTTAGAGGAGGACAAGACAAAGTGATTGAATAATTTAAAGTACTGTATAGAACTATATTTTACATATATGCAATTCATACAACAAATCTAGTAGCAGGATATTGTGTTTTGGAGTATTTAGACAGGATTGATTGCCTAATGCAATATACAAGTGCAGTTTTTTTAATTTTTTTTTCAGAGAAATGAAATATTAGGCATTAAATTGTATGTCTTTTATTAGAGGAATTAACACAGTATTGGTTACTATATAAGAATTTTAATAAGTGTGTCCCTTTTGACAATAATAAGATGTCAACACTAGTGCTCAGAAACACACTCCTGGTCTTCTTAAAGAAATATGCTTTTCCAAATTATTGTAAAGTAGATTTTTTAATGATTTTTATATATACAAGTCTCATTCTAATTATAGACCACCTCCAATTAATGACCACCTTTCTATGGTCCCATATTAACAAATATCTTTCATCTTTATTATTCTAATTAGAGACAAAAGCTGCTAAAGACTTGGAAATATTGGTCCTAAAAGTGGTTTTAGTTGGAGAGAGACCTATATTTGAAAAGCATTACATATTAATTTTACGAATGAATTAAACAAAAATTAATATTTCAATTATGCCATCACTAAAATGAAAAACCTGAAGAAACCCTCCTTTAGTAAACATCCAGTTTCTGAGATTGAACTTTCCTGATCCCCCTAAGTGTTTGCAATTTATTTTCATGTGAAGATGACACTCCCCAGTGGTAGGTTAACACTATCTGTGAATGAGGTTAAGAAATTGTTTTTAGTATCTTCTTTGATGAATAACATATTCATCAATTAAACATTTTCCTTTAAATAATACATTTTTTTGTTGAAATTTTACTCCTTAGGGTGTATATAAATTTCCCTGGGGAAGAATTGATAATACGATGGAAAAGAGTGTATATATATATATAAATAAACCAATGGAATCAAATAAATTAGTAAAAATGAAAATCTAATAAACACAACATTTAATGCAAATACTTTGAAATTCGCATTATAAATGATTTTTCTTTGAAATGAAAGTTTAAATTAAAATCAAGAGGAAAAGAGTTGGTAGTAATGGATAAAACATTTAAAATAGAAGAATTAAAGGCAAAATCACTGAAATATAGAATGACATTATGAGTGTCCTATATTGCATTTTTATAGAGCCATAGATTTACTAGATATTTTATAAATGTTATATGTACACTTAGGGAGAATGAAAAGACTGCATGCTTGTAACCAGCGTGGCCTTTTGCTTGTATCTCGTAATTCAGTTTATTAGTGGCGTAGACTACTTGATGAGGACATTTCTAGTAGCGCTTCGTAGTCCCTTAAGATTTTGTTTATTTTTCTCTCAAAATACAACATTTATTAATGTCAGTATACTATGTATTTGAAGTAAAAGCAGGATAGGCTTTTCGTGATGTAGACATTTTGCCGCTTTTCGAGAAGGATGTCGAACCAAAGGTTGGAATTAAGACAAGAGGCAGTGGTGCGCAGCTTGTTTGGAAGTTAATGTCCATTTTAAAATGAAAATGAGATTATATTATAAGTAATTATTGTGAAATTTATGATCATTCTATAAGAAAAATAATCTAATTTGGGATTTTTTATATTCAATGATGATATTTTGTTCACCACAAACAAATTTATACAATATTATTTTTATATGTTGATTTTTAATGTTTTTACACCTTTTTATAAAAATAATTTTAGTTTTGGAATGTTAAAAATTCAATTTAATGGTAATTTTTAGTATTTTAACCCACTTAGTGGAACTAATTTGCTGTGCCCACCCCCAAACGATGCCCATGTTAGCATTGTTAATGCTCCTGTGATAGATAATTGTTCATTAGTATTGGGAGTGGGGAGGGGTGGAGAGATGTGTAAACTGAATAAGGAGAATGATGTGGGGTAGGAATGTGGGTTACCATTGCTATTTTGGACTGGATTGTTGGTGATTGGTTGAAATAATTAAAGATCGATGAAGGATGCAATCTTGCCTTCAGTGTATTTACACTAGCCAAAGAGTTCTTTGATTTATTTTGTCAAATGTTTACTATTAAAGTGAAGTGTTATAAAAATGTTATTTTACTTAACATTCCGATCTACAGATAATAGCAAATCAATGTATAAAACAATTTTCATTCAAAAAGTATCATCACCAATAATTAGTTACTGTACAAGGTGTCATATTTTTTTTATAGAATAGGTCAAATGAATTTATATCAATTTTAAGTTAATTAAACTTGATTTGTTGTGGCTTTTACCTTGAACAGATCTTAGTTGCTTTGTCAAGATTTCCAATTTTTGGATTGAATACGTTAATTATATCTGTATTTGAATTGAGAGTTGTAAAGTCTCCTGCAATAAAGTATTTATTAAATCTGTATGTAGTGTCATATCAGACTGATGAAGTCTTTAAAATATTCATTCTGTGTTAGTTGGTGATCCCTTTGGGTCACAGAGTTACTGGCTAGAAGTCTAATCTATTAGTTGCCATCCCACGAGGGCTTGATGTAGTACTACACCCTACATTATTTGCGTGAGCCCAATCCCTACATTCAAAATAATTTTTGACTATTCTACACTATGTAGAAAGTGCTTTCATTGTTCCTAGTCCACATATCTAGCGCCCTGAGCATCTTACATTAGATGGATATGTACGCTGTATAAAACTACACTATTATTATTATTATTTTTATTATTATTATTATTATTATTATTATTATTATTATTGTGTTTGACGGTTTTTTAGATCATCATTTTCCTCCTTTTTTATCTAATGCTTTTAAGGTTTTTAGTTGCTAACTAAATATCAAAACATACTAAAAAGAATGGAATGAATGAAGTGTAATTATTCATAGTACTGCACAAGTTGATCATTAATTAAACCACTTAATTTCTGTTAATATAATTGTGTAATTTTAGGATGAATTGAGATTTACAAGTTCAATAAATTACAACAGGTTTTTTTCTGATTTATATTAAACAAACTAACAAAATCTAAGACAAAGCCTTTTAAAGTGATTAATGGCAACATTTAATAATTTCTAAACAACATGGCAATATATTAACACGACACAAGTATGTAATTATATTAAGTATAGGTCGTTGAAACCACAGATTTGCATTTTTTTAAATGTTTGAAATAAGTTCATCAGTCTAGCCTGTTCATCTTGTTTTTTGGATCCAGAATCCACTAGCTGGTACTATGTATTATATTTATAATTATTCTACACATTATTTAACCAGTAGTGATAATTGTAACTAGGAGTTAAGCAAGCATAGCAGTATTACTTAAGCACACTTTAAGCTATCAGTTGGCTGTTCAGTAAGGTATTTCCTGGATTCCATCCCTCAGATTATATCCAATCTTGATCCAGGTCCTTGTGCAGGAAGTCGCATGGATCTAGCTTCCAACAAACGCAACAACAAAAGATTCAGCCCTTGCCTTGATATGGTTTCAAGATTTATGAATAAAAGGCCATGTAATGTTGACCTTTAACACTTGAGAAAAAAATAGAAAAAACAGCAACGTACATAAAACCATTAATTAATTATTAGTCCTATTGTAAAATTAGTTATGAATTTTTTAATAAGTTAATACTATGTAAATTATGAGCTGTTTCTTGATTGCCCAAAGAAAAGTTTGAGAATAATTTTTTTTTTTTCCAAATTATAAATTAGATGTGATGAGTCATGCTGATTAAAATGAAAATTATTAAATGAAATTAAAGGAACTGTTATGGAATTATCAGTAAGGCCTACACAAATAGTGAGAGGTATCTGTTTTTTATAGATGTCCAGAAAATGATTAAAATTAATAAATAAATATGCCCAACAATGTCTATATATTTCAAATGAAATATATAGTACATGAAATACAAATAAAGGAAAATAAAAAAATAAATAAGTACAAATAAGGGCGAAGAATTGAAAGATGTGATAATATTTTGGGAGTTCAGTCTGATAACATGAGCAGTGCAACGTAACTGCATCGTGGATTAAGTACACACGCTTTACTCCATTACACACGTACCTATGCACTTGCACTTCCTGTATTGGGCTGTTGCTGAATGGTGATCAAACCCAGACTATCTCCTATATTGACCTGTATTGGTATCTATGCTACGGAAATTTGTGGTTTAATCTAGCTTGTTCTGACAACAATTCATGTTCAACGTATCTAGTAAATGAATTGAGATACTTGGTTAATGATTGTAGTAGAGACCTGATTAATGATCACATTAGTTAGAGACCTGGCTAATGATCAGGTTAGAGACTTGGTATGATCAGGGAGTTATTATAATAACAACTCCCTGGTATGATTTAATGATCACATTTATGGGACTTGATTAATGATCACTTTTGTTAAATAAAGACCAAGTTAATGATCACATTAATTGCAAAATATTAAATAATTATTTATAATACATTATCACATCCTCCTTTCAGAAATAAATATTATTTTTGTTTGCTGTTTGTATTGATGTATCATTGAGAGTATATACCATAATATAATATAGCAGCCATCAATCCTATAGGATATGAGATTATACTCATACCATTGAGGGCAGCAAACAGAATAGTTCAAATGCTAAATAATGTTTTAGATTTTACAAATTTTGAGAATTGGATAGATAATAAATTAATGTTTTATTTCTTTTTTATTTCAGGCCTTGGTGGTAAAAGGAGGAAACAAATTGGAGTAAGTCTTTCTACAATTTTTTTCAATTTTTTTTTATAGAATTCAGAGCTAAAAATTATTTTTAAAGACAATAAACATATTCCATATTAATCTTCTTTTGAAAGTGATTAACTACAAATTTTAGACCAATTTTTCATGCTAATCACAAACTCAAATTTCATTTGATGGCAATCTGTCTGCTTCTTTTCCTGAGCTATGTCAAACTTTTTGCCTTAAGATCAATTTGGATGATTATGTCGCCTGTTTCCAATATTTAAAAAAAAGTAGGCATGTTAGGTAGGTAAGTATGATGCATTGTAATAGTTAGTTTTTATTTACTTTTATAGCTAGGTGTTAGGATAGGAAAGTCTAGATGCTGGCATCACTCGAGTATCTGTGAATTACGAGCAGGCTGGTCAATGCGCCTTAAATTGCAGGCGAACGATGCATGATGGCTAGTTTCACAGCAGAGGTTGCTTCTTGTTATCATTTTCAAAGTTTAGATATGAATTATTTCATGGCTTATATTTTTGATATGATGCATTTTAATCCATATTTGAAGTCTGACTACCCACTTCCTTTAATTGGTACCAAATATTTCTTACTGGAAATTTGCTAATACATAATATTATTATTATTATTATTATTATTATTATTATTATTATTATTATTATTATTATTATTATTATTATATAGTATAAACTTTGTGATTTGGAAACAATTTACATTGTACAAAAAATGAATGTGACTAAGATTGAAAAGGGGAGGCCGTAATATGCTAAATCTGAATTTGAAATAGTGTGTGCACTTATCCACATGGCTTTCAACTAGAAATAGATAAATGTTGACCAAAATTGTTGCAATTCTATCTAATTAATTTATAATATCAATTTATTAGCTTCATGAAAGTGGACTTTCTCTTGCTTATTAACTTTAATTATTTTTTTTTTATTTATTTTTTTTCAAAATACTTAAAAAATATGGTCTTTATGCTGGTTGTTTATTGTATTGGTTTTCTGGTTAATATTAAAATAAAGTACTTATAAATTCATGGTTCACATTTCTAGTCTATAAACTTTTATCTGTATAATAAAAGAGAGGGTAGTAATGGTAGAATGGTTGTTAGTTTTTATAGTTATTCTATAGGTGTTGATGCTTTTGTGTGAAGTCTATTTTGAAATTGAGTATAAGAAATGCTAGATCCAAGGAGGTGTGAGCTCGATCAGGGCTTCTATTATTGTTATCCCTACCATTGTCTTTATTCAAATTCATATCACACAGTAAGTATTACAATTAAATTACTTCTGTTAGATTAGTATTCAATGTTAGCAGCTATGTTACATGAGAAGCAGTAGGACTAGAAAGATAAAATATCTGCTGTAAACCAGGAATGTTTTTCTAATTGACAACTGAATATGAGGAGGCCAGCTTATTAAACATTAACTAATTATGAGACATATTTTGTGGAGTAACTGGCTAGGCCCGGTAAGGTATTTCATTGGATTTTGGCTAAACTATAAAATAGACTTAATGTTCGGTATACTGTAACTAACCAAGAATATTATGTTAAGATTTTTTTTTGGGTGGGGGAAGGCAGGGGGTGTTGAGGGGAAGCTTGTAGGTCCTATGTGATTTTTGTTGGTAGGCCTTGTAGGTATGTCATTGCTGACTTTGCTAATTTCAACATAACAAAGACTTGTATGTAAAAAATAATTGGAACATGGATTTTTAATGAGCAAAATACTGTAATTAACCATGTTTATTCTGGTATGTTAATATTTTTGTTTAATATAATTCACAAAAATATTAATAAAGGGGTACCATACTTGCTGATTCTGAATTGTTTATATTTTTATCAAAATACGACCATGCTGTCATGAAGAAGAATGTAAATTATTCCCTTTTCACGCTTCCACTTTTTTTTGCAAATAGTAACAACTAGAAACAAGTTGTAACCAGGTTTGTGTAGTGTGAAAGCAAATTCATGTAAAATTTTCCAAAATATCGCAGGGGGCCCCTGTGATATCTTTGAAGAAAAACAGGCCTTGTCGAGGCTTGTTTATTCTTCCGAGTATTCAGTGCGCATACGTTCATACTGCCATCAGGCAACAGAGAACAAAATATTGTTGTGCGCGATCAGCCTACTCTTGATATCTCTCTTGTTGCTGATTGTTAAAAGTTGAAATGTTTTTTGTTAGTGTGAAAAGGATATTAGTTACTCCATTGACAAGACAAGATTGCCAAAAAACAAAAACATATCAATCATTACCAACAAGTATGTAAAAATGTTTTTAATGTCATTGGAGTAAATGATTTTTTAATGATCAATAATTTTGGAACAATTTTGTGTTTAATCATAGTGATTAGTTTATTAATTTTAATTTTTTTTTTAATTGCTTAAAAAAAAACTTTAAATTCTTGATTATGCCAAATTTAAAAATTACTTACAAATTAAAATACTATTACTTATAGTAATCCTTATTTCAAATTCAATTTATTCACAAATTGGTGAAAAGTCAAAAAATAGCTTGTACTAATCGAAGTTTGACTTCTAATCCAACAAATACATAATTTTTTGAAATATTTAACATAACAGTTTCATTATTTGCTCTGAACGAATTGTGTAGCAGTAAAATCATTAAATTTCAATAAACAAAAAAAATTATCAACTTTCCAGAAAAATGCAGAGTAAAACAATCCACATTTGAAGCCTTTTTACTACAAAAATTATTTACAACTTAATGTACAATGATTCTGTACAAATACAAAGAATAGTATTATTCTTTGCATCTGTTAATTGGCAAGAATGGTTTTCTTGTTTTAATTCTTAATTGAAGCAAATATAGTATGAAATTTCAGTATTGAATTTTATCTTTCTAATTTTCCACATTCATTTCATCTCAGAACCCATGATCTAGATTGACATAATAAACTACTACTACTACAACATTGTATTATGCAAGTTAAGCAGCTCTGCCAATACCACACAGAATTGATTTTTGTTAACTTTGAATAATTTATTTGCTTTGTCTTGCCAAATGCCCAAGTCTTTGATGAGAATACTATATCTTAGATTTATTAAGTATCTTCATTTGTATTATGAAAAATTATTGAAAGTAAGATGGTGAATGTTTGTCTATCACTCATGTCACATTATTGTGTAAATTTTGTTTAATTAATGAAATACCTAGTATTATAATAATCAGTCAATGTTTTTGCATCATTATTCATCAACTCAACCAAAATTCTATCAATTCAACTTAATTTATACCATTATAATATAAATAACAAACAGGAAATTTTTAATTTGTAACATGCTTCAAAGAAAAGAAAAGACTACCCTACTAGTAAGGTAGGAGTAAAAGTGTATAAATTAGGTAAAATAAGTTTCAAATAAGACTTCAGGTTTTGGATTTACATTAAATTCATATGTGGAGGGTGCAGCATTAATTTGTCGTGGAAGAGTATTGTAGACTTTAGATGCAGCAACCATGAACAGTTTCATTGAAAGAAATATAATAATTTTAGAAGTCAATGCCAGTTAATAATGAACTTGCTTATTGGAAAAAATACATTGCAAGTATATTTCACAAATTTGCATAATGACGTGCGTGTACAATATGGTTGCCCTATTAAAATAGCAACAGTTCGTCATTTAGATTGTTTATGCATAACTATAATTTTGGTAAAGCTATTTTACTAAAGATTTAATGGTTTAAATTATATTTTTAAAATTTATCAAATAATTACCCTAGTTCACATCAGTTATTTTTAGCTTTTACCTTCTAGTTTATTATAATAATTTTTTTTTGCATATAATATGTTTTTTGAGGTTTGTAAATATATTAATGAATTACTATATTTCAATAACCATGTTTCAATGTTAAAAATATGGCATGTTTTCCAAGCTTTCTAATAATGTTTTATAAACAAAACATGATCAATTTAATCTAAAAATGAAATAAAAAATATATAGTATAATGAAATATAATGATTTAAATATCCAATTTAAAATAGGCAAGAAATATTAAAACATATTGCTAAAGCTGTTTAGTAGTGTAATGTAATAATAAAAGTAAAACATGATGCTATGTTTTATAATGTAATAAATACATCAGAAATCTAGGAATGCATGTATATTAAATTATTCAATTTAGTAGAGTTTTAGAAACAAAGAGCATTTAGATGACTCAGAAGATGCGGAAGCATTCGATATTTCTCATCTTGAGTACAAGGGTGTGATTCATATATCTGCATTTGCCTCTAATCTTACCTAATCCTATTTCCCCCCATCTCCTTTGATCTTTCCTCTAGGTGTTTTGAAGATCTACCGCTTTATAATTTCTTTATATTTTGCATAATGTTCTTTCCTATATTTCATTTGGTGTGATAATAAAGAGTAGTATACTTTAGTCAGGTAAACTGCTATTAGCCACTGTGTGTGTGTGCTGAACCGTGGCGATATTGGGGTCATTGGTTCAAGCCCATCTCTGCTCACCATATGTTTCAACTGGGTAGCTCTGCATCGTCTTTCAGAATGTGATGTTTATTCTCTTGGTCCTTTGTGCATTAAGGCCCATGTGCACTTTGAAATAAACACTGAAAGATGAGTAGGTGACTTGTCTCCCGATGTATACCAACCGCCACAACTGCACAACATTTTTCACCTGCACAGCAACCAGTAGCGTATCTGGGGCTATTAACATCGGGGGCCTGATGTGGGACACAGTGCAAAATTAGCTGGGGGAATGACATGATATTCATTACTTTGGGGGAATTCTTTTGCTAAGCAATTATATTTCTTTATTGGGTGCATCTCAAACTTTATAGGGACTTGCATGCTCTCCTTAGGTATATCACTGACAGTTACAAAAAAATACAATTAGGTGTTTATATTACACAGTTATTATTTTAATATTATTATACTTCCTTTTGTTAAATTGTTATTCCTGTTTTTTGCCCTTCCCGTAGGTTTATTCACCAGCAGGTTCAGACGATTATCACTCAGAATCACCCAGTTATTCATCACCTAAACCCCCAGGAATGTATTCAGATAGTTACTACCTTGGTAAGTTTTCTGATCTATTGGCACTCTTTAAAGTTATATATATATTTTTTTATTTTCTAGTTCATTCTATCAAAAGGTTCTTGTAGTATTATTATTATTTGCATCATGTTATTAATTGCCGTTAACATCAACATTATCGTTGTCAGTATTTCAGTATGTATTAGAACTCGCTTTCAGAACAGTGACACACACCTGTACAGTGGTGTGTCCATAATACAATAATACAATCAAGTAACAATTATACAAAGAACCAAAAATTAAAATGGAAAAAATAAACAAAAACAAAACAAAAACAAAAACAAAAACAAAACAAAAAAACACAAAACAAAACAAAAACAAAGAAAAGAACAACGCCACCATAGGCATCACTGCTATTGTTGTAATTATAGTATATAATCATTCATCATCATGATAATGATCGTCATCATCATTAAAATCATTATCAATAGCAATGTACTTTGCATTCATTTTGTCAAGCTCAAATAAGTTGTATGACTAAAAAGAGGAAACAAGTTGGTGTAATTAGGTTGGAAGAAGGATTGTATTAAACACATACATTTATCAGTTACCATATATGAAGTTTAAAACCTAAATTAACTTAAAAGAGACAAAACACTTTAACCCCTTGTTATATCTAATAATGCATTTTTTTTTACCTCTGTAATACAGATGGCTCTCATAACAGTGGGCATGATGGATGGAGCAATGGCATCGGACCAGCATCCAATTACCCCTCCTCAACCTTGCTAAGCAACTCAACTTCCCATTCACAGACCTCTTCTAATTTTACACATGATCCTCCAATGGTAAGAACATTCTTTTTATCTTATTTGAATTCCCATCTTTATAGTCCACGCTCCAGAAGTCAGAAATGTTCTTGATTTTTCTAAGACACAAAAAGTGTTTTTGACGGAAAACTCTTGAACGGTTAATGAGATGCAGATTTTTTAATATTTAAAAAGGGGCACAACTCACCCATCTTTTTGTTGGAAAATCAGTTGTTTTTTCTCTGGAGTCTGGCTTAATAAAGATGGTCTGATCTGTTGTTATCTACATTTACATTTTCATAAGTACAAGGCATACAATCAATCTATCAGTGTTTATACAGAGTACATAAAGAAAAAGAATGTTGCAAGAAGACTGGTTTAGGTGAAGTTTAATACAAATTCTGAATCGCCCTCAACAAATAAACAAAATAAAAAAAATTATATATGTGTATGCATACACTTAAAGTAAGATCACAAATTTTTGTTTTGAGATTGACATTTGACCCGGCAGCAAGAGCAAGTCGATGTGCATTATTTTGATTGACAGCTGTGTATCTGGTATATTTTTGTAAAGGTGTGAAGGTTGCAAAACTCACATCAAAGTTAATAGCCTATAATGATTTATGTCCACCCTAACATTAAGTGATGAATGATGCTGTTTACTTGCAGTGAACATTGACTATATATAACTTTGAAAGGATTATTTTTACTTCTTAAAAGAGATATTATAATTTATTTTTTTCTTTTATTTTTTTGTATTTTTGCAGAATTTTGGGCATAGCCAAGAATCATTGATGAGTTCTAATTCAGGTCTTCCTCCAATGACCAGTTTTAGACCTGATGCCCATCCCAGCGCTAGGTCACCTTTGAATGGCAGTGAACCAAGCCAGGGTAAGCAATATCATAATATTTAAAATCACTGATGAAAACAGTAAAGAAAATGTTCACCATTACCATCTGTATTTCATCATTACTACTACTTTCACTTGTTATAGGCTTCATCATCATCCTCATCATTGTTCATAATCACCGCTACTGCAACCATCACCATTATTGTTGTCATCATCATTATCATTATCATCCTGATCATAATTGCTGTCATCATCGTTATATTGTTTAAACGCTAGATTTAAAGACACTCTTTTCGTTTGGCAAAGAAGTGATGGATAAATAATAATTCTGTGCATAGACCCTTAAATTAGCTAGTAATTACCAATTTTTAGGATTTTCTATAAATCAGCTAAAAATTTGTTTAAACTGGTATTGGTCTTTGTATTAAAGAGTGATACAGGATCAAATATCGTGGCTATTGACTGCATACAGTTAGCCCTTATAGACATGTTAATGCTAAAAAAAAAGTACTCTTGCAACCATTCTTTTTTATGGCTATTAGAATATGAAAACTTTTAAGTGTTTTAAGTGAATTTCATGATTGACAGAGCATTGTATGAGTCTGATGTGAACTTGCAAATCTTAATAATTGTTTACTCTACATTCTGCAGCTCGCAGAAGCTCAACAACAGCTACCGGAGCAGACAATTCACAAACCGGTGTCACACTTGGAAAAGCACTTGCATCTGTAAGTCACAATTTTTTAAAAATTACTTTCTTTCTTATTTGTGACATTAAAATGTTTGTTTTTTTTTCTGTTTAAAGTCTTAAAAGTTGTTTTTTGTTTTTTTTAAATATTTGATGTATTTAAATGTCATACTTTTTGACAACATGCATACAGTAATAAGAAAGTGTTATACTGCCCTCTATACTAGTTTAATACTTTTGAAATCTTGGGGGCAGCATTTATGATTGATTAGTTGTATGACTGGCAACCCCAGGAGGCCAGTTCTTGCGGTCATACAGTGACATTCAAATCTATTACTACGACATTGCAACAGTCTCCTGTTGGATTTATTTTATTGTAAATTAATGAATTAAATAGAAACAGGAATACTAAACCTGCTGAATTTCTTCTGAAACTAAAAGCATGGCACTAACCTAGTTCTAGGCATTCAAGGATTGATCTGTTGTAATGTAAATTGAAAGGAGCACCAAGAAGTCAAGTTGATAAAAATAAATAACTTTCTTTAAAAGAATCAAACAGGTTGCTAACCAGATTATATTGTATTAAACTGTGCAATTATTTCTTGCATGACTTGAAATTCATGAAATTGCACAATAGAAATATACAAAACCAGCTGAAACTAGGACCATGTGGAGAGAAATGATCGTAACCATATGGCGAAATACCGAAATCTGAAAAAAGAAACATGATAGATTACGCAGGAAATAACAACTTTGCTCAGCAAAACCTTCTCAGAACGTTTAAAAAATGCTGGCATTGTGAAGCTTCTTAACAATGATCTTAATTCCCAGCAGAATGAAAGTAATAGGATATTGTTTTGTTGGCTAGGAAGTCGACTATTTTAGATTTCCCAGGGAACTTTTGCAGTGAATACCACAGAAATGGTGACATAATTGATTTGTAATGAGTTGTTCTTCCTGGTGATGCTGAAAATTGAATGGTTCCAGTGTTATCAGGATGTTGGCCCTGATTTAAATGAGTATCTTGTTCTCTATCAACTTTCAAATGAATAATAATAAGAAATGGTTGTGATTGTTGATATTTCTTTTCCAATCACCGCCACCACC